ACAATAAGAACTAAAAATAAAAATTGCATAGATTTAAGTAGCAACAATCTATAACTATCATCTACATAAGTAAAAACTTGCCACAGGAAAAAATACTAACATAGAAGTAATAAAAAAGAGATAAAAAGAAAAAAAGAAATGAAAAAGAAAAGGGTTGCCCTTTAGCCTGAACCAAGAACAAAAATATTATGTTATAGCAATATAAGCATATCTCATATAATTTCTAATCGAGCTCCATCTTTCGATTAATCTGTCCTATACTTTAGCTATATTTTTCTGAGACTAGATGCATATGATTACTTATGTGTAGCACAACAAAGATCCAAACAGACCGATTTGTCACATAGTTGCTTTCTCCATAATAATTCAAAAATAGTAAGGATAAACAAAGATCGTCATTTACAGGGAGAAACCTAATTTCCTATTTTTCAAAAAAGAAAAACAGAAAAAGGGAAAAAAAGAAAAACCGTAGAACTTTGGTATAGAGAGTTTATCCAAGTAGAACCAAATTTCATAAGCTAGAAGAGGAAGTGTATTGCTACTTGACCCAGTTCAAATAGTTTAGTGAGTTTATCTGCAATATCTCTACAAGTTATTCCATAGGCCAAGAAAAAACTAAGACTCGCTAAGGTCAGTAGCAAAGCTCCATTAGGCCTCTTACAAAACTAGTGATAATAGTTCAATGACTGTACTCTGCTTAGTTCAGGATGTTATCCCTCATGCTGTTCAATATTTTTTCCTTGCTGAGTAGTTGTGGTTGTTTCTTGTAGTATTTTTCTGTTTACTTCATTTCAGTTCTAGTAATCGTCGAAAAGAGTTGAATGAGCAAATTATATAAATTTTATTGTATATTTTTTTTTTATAAAACAAATTTACTGTAATATCCCTATTTATAACTTTAACCCCACTGGTATTTACCTTAGTATTCATAATTAAACTATTCAATTTAACTAGCATTTGCTACTTAATATCTACTTTATTCAGTTCTATCAAAATTCTCACTTTAGCAGATTTTGATAATGAATGCTTTATGTTTATCTTGCTAGTTTTGTTCTAACTTTAGTGAATGTTAATAATAGATGCCTTATGTTTAACCTATAGTAATTCAATACCATTTCCTATTTTAGTAACTAAAAATATCTTATATTTAGCTTTTTGACTTCAATTTTACTTTAAATATTCTAGCCTTTTTGATATTTGTTTTTTAATTCTATAAGTATAACAGATTAATGAATGTTCTTTAAATTTTTGATCTAAGAAAATGAATAGCTATTCTATATTATTCTTTAAACTTTATACTTTAGAATGATAATACCTAAAATTATTATGTATCATAATATCTATATTCATATAGCAAATAATTACTAATATCTATATTCATATAGCAAATATTAAAAAAAAATTATAATAAAATTTCAAACATTAAATTGTTGATCTATAAACTAACACTACCAATTCATATAGCAAATATTGAAAAAAGTATAAAAAAAAAAAAATCTTAAAAAAAAAAGATTCAAATAAAAAATAATTTTCAAACTTTAAATTGATAGTTCATAAAGATCATCATTTATATTATTTCTATTACTATTGCTATAGTACTTATTATACTCATAATCCTCATTATTCTTATTATTCTTATTGTAATTATTAGCAATATTATTTTAGTTCTCACTAGCAATATTCTACTCATTTCTATATTCATTGTCTTCAATATAATGATCACTATATTCACTATCACTATATTTACTATCATTATATTTGCTATTACCCAAATTATTATTTACTTCATCTTGTTCTAGTAAATTATCATAGTCAAAAAGTATATGATTCTCAGAACTATCTATTTCTGTTGAAATTCTACAACACTTAAATAATCTTCTAATAAAGTCAGTATTAACATTATCCCATAAATCTCTAACTCAAGTTGCTACAGTAGAGTATGAAAGTTTTCTAATATAACCTTTTAGTGTAAAAGTATAAATTACGAATAATATCCAACTATTATAATATTCTCAAATCTAATATTTGTTATTTTATACAATATAAAGTAATAAAATATAAGATATGTAATGAACTAAGCAATCTTTTATATAAAAGATTGCTTAATTTGTTATAATAAATAAAATTTACAATACTTTAGATTTGAAGCTTTATTAATTGCAATATTTAAAGGTTGCAATCTAGAAATACAACTAGATAGAATAACTACAAAATTTGTATTTTTTTCTACTAACCAGTTTTTTACTAAATTCATAAGATATGCACAAAATGCATTCATAATTAGCATAAATCATGGATTGCTTAGATGGTTTCTTTGATTCCAAACTGTTTCTATTCACTATAATATTTTTTTTTCATTTATTCAACTACTTTTATTAGCTCTAATATAAATATCATATAGAAAATTCTCACGAGAAATATTTTTTAATTTGAAAATACAAACTGCTAGAAGTTTAATTCTGTTAGCTATACATATGAGTATAACAGTAAAAGAAAATCTTTTATGACTAGTAGTACAAATATTAATAGACTTTTTGCCTTTTATATCAATAGTATTGTTATTTAGTAGATCAAACCAAAGTGGTGTCTCATCTATATTACAAATATACTTTAAAGAATAGTCATGTTAGATTCTACGATACAATATATAACTCAAAAAAGAATTTTGTTTATCAATTAAATCTAGTACAAGGTGTTGAGCTATTATTGTTCTATGTCTATTTGAAAGATTATATTACATAAAAAAAGTATCAAACCATCTGTTTGAAAATTTAAAATGAATAATATCAGAGTATTGTAAGTGAAACTCATATTAAGACAAGTCTAAAGCCTTTTTAGTAATTAAATAGTATGTAACTAGATTTCTACTAGCCTTAGTTTTATTAATCCAATTAAACAATTTGTTTTCTAAGTCTGGATATTTGGCTTGTTTTCTCGAATGTAGTTTTTTAATATATAGAGCTACTTGTAATAGTTTGTCTTTTTTACTTTTCCAGTCACGTATTTGCTTTGGCTCCAAAGTAAACCACTTAGTAATTCTACATATATTACTATTATTATTTTCTAAATAATCTAGAATTATAAGTTTTTTTCTGACAGTTCATGTATGATGAACTTTAGAAGCAATAACTTTTTTAGTTTTTTTAAATCGTTTACTTGTGATACAGCTCATTTTATCATTATTAGTTATATAAGTTATACATAAGTTAAACACAATTCTAAATCTTTATACTTACTAGTATTGTACTAGTATTCATGTAGTAATACAAATCCGTATAGAACAAATACAGTATTTGCTCTAAAGTTTATTAAATTGTAAAATATCTGAATACTTTATATAGGCAATACCCTGAGTATTTTACAATTCATATACTCCTTCTATGTATAATACTCACCTGTGTAAAGTACTTAGATTAGCATTTTGAAATACCTAAATTTGTAAAAGATCTAACATATATTGTTGAATAGAATATAGTATTAAATATTACAATAGTTTAAAACATATATTTAATACTACAATTACTTTTATATATTAACTTTAGCAACTTCAAATATCTGAATAATTTATTTAGAAAAATAAACTATATTCTTACAAAATGTTACTAATTTACATTTAAAATAATTAATAAATTTAATTTGATTTTGAATTCAAAATTTATTTAAGTAGATTTTAAATTTATAGAATCCTGAATTTAACTGTTTTTTTTTACTTAATTTAAAATATTATTTATTTATTTTATTTTACTATATTTAGATATATCTTTTTACTATTAATTCTAAAATTTCTTTTATATCAAATATCTAAATATTTTCTAATAATAAGGCTTTTGTTTTTGCTACAGCTTACTATATAAATAAAAATTAGATTCTATAAAAAATACTAGTTTTTTTTTTAGATTCAGCAGTTATGTCAAAACTTTATTTAGATTTGTTTTTATATAAGAAAAACATCATTGAATAGCTATATACCTTTCAATATCTAATTTTTTAAGTTTTAACTTATCTAGTTATCCTATAGATATCTATATATAATCTGCTATAATGATCTTTATACTAGATTATTATTGTTATAATTATATAACTACAACTCTCTAAGTATAGATGCTATAGCCTATTATGACTACTTTATATCTTATTACTAAAAATACTCTCCTTTACTCAACTATTTTTAATTTCTTCTAAATTTTTCCCTAAACTATAATTCTCTATTTTGCTTTTAATCTATCTATTAGTATTCATCTTGTAAAGTTTTTTCTTTTTTTTTCTTTTCTTCTAAACTTTTCTCTAAGGTTTATCAATATATTGTTAATTTAAGAAATAAATCTTCTTTTCTCCTAGTTTTTTTTTGCTTTCTTGTATATCTTTCTTTCAGTTCTTTTATATTTCTTCTTAGATGCTTCTTAGTGTTATTAGTTGAAATTCTTCTTTAAAGTTATATCCTTCTACTTGACCTTTCTTTTTCTTTTTCCATTCTTCTAAAAGTTATGAGTTTCTATTCTTCTTCTACTTAAAACTAGCTTTTTTCCTCCTTTTTCTCTCTTCATTTGAATTTATTTTATTTTTTGTTTTTCTTTCTTTCTTCTTTTATTATTTTCTTAGTTTTCTTGATCTTCTTTATATATTCTTAGTTTTGCTTCTTCTTTAAGTTTTTCTAAGATTTGTTTTATTTTTCTTTTTTCTACATTTCTTTCTTTAGTTTTTCTAAAGTTTTTCTTTTCTTTTTGTTTTTTTCTTATTATCTTCTGCTTTTTTAATTGTTTCTTTGGTGAAGCTTTTTTGAATATTTCTTTTATCCATAAGTTGATCTTTAGAATTATTTCTTTATTCTGTTGTTTTTGCTTATTAATAGTTTGAGCTTTGAGTATTTCTATCTATCTTGTATTTAGTTTTTGTTATATCAGTTGCATATACTCTTCTTTTTCAATAAGTATAACACAAGTTTTGCTTCTTCTATATTTAGTTCTTCTAATATATATCATATATTTTCTATAACTAAAAGCTTATAGATACTCTTTCTCATTACTTTAGCTAATTCTGTTACTACTCTAAATGATATCTTATTGATTTTTATATAGCTTTCTAATTTAGACTTGTTTATTTTATTCTCTTAAAACAGTTCTAATATTCTTCTTAGCTTATATCACCAAATTTTATTAGAGGATATATATTGATATATATCTATAAAAGATATATATCAATTTAAATCCTTTCTGTCACATATAATCGATTACTACATAAATTGATAAATAATGATTAACTATTAAAAATTGTTAAAAAATGATTTAATCAATTATACTGATAAATATCATTAATTAATGATTAGAATTTATTTGAAACAATTAATATTGATATCAGAAATTTAAAATCATTATATAAAAAATTATTATCAATATGAAATGATTTTAATTAATATTATAAAAACCTGAATTAAATGTTATTGAAATAGTGATAGATTAAATTATAAATTTATATTTCTACTAAACAGATTTAGCTTTATATTATAAAAATATTACTAATTTATTAATACTTTATTAATTTGATACTTTTATTAATTTGATAATTATATATCAATTTACTATACAAATTATAAGTAACAAAAAATATATATTTAGGACCATATGTAGCAATAGATCGATTTCTATTTGTATTAAGTAGTCAAAGGAAAATATCCTATTCATATTATTCATATTGTTCTCCTTCTTGTTCTCACTTAAGATTACTTTCTAGACATTCCCGTTATTCTCTCTCAAGATCACATTCTTGATATTCACATTGTTCTTGCTCAAGATCACACTCTCGATATTCATGTCGTTCATATTCAAGGTCATGCTCTCACTATTCATAATATAGATCTCGATCTCTATCACCTGATTTATCAGAAGAAAGGGATGCTATAAGATTACATAATAGAGGATCATCCAATACAAATCCATAACATAATCAAGATGATATATAATGGTTTATTAATTTTTTTTTGCATTTTGAATAGCGATAGATTCTTTTTTTTTGAAAAAAAATTTTTTTTTTATAAACACAAGTACAATGCCTGTACCATTAGCAATAACAGCACTAGCAGCAGTACCAAGTTCAACAGCACCAGTAGCAGCACCAAGTTTAATAGCACTAGCAGCAGCACCAAGTTCAACAGTACCAGCAGTAGCATCAACAACAGTACTAGTAGCAGTACCAACAATAGCACTAACAATAGCAATGGCAGCAACGTTAACAAGTCAGCACATAGCAAATATTTGAGCAAATATTTGCTCAACAGCAACAATTATATATTTTATTGAAAAACTTGAGCAAAGAATTTCATGAATTTAAAAGTGAGTTTCAGAGAAGAGAGGTCAGCAAAAGTAAACTCTTTCCTCAAGTAATAGAAGTAAGTAGTTTACATGAGTGTATGTTTTTTTTTTTTTTATATTACATTAAGAAGTAGCTTCAAAGGATGGTTTAACTTTGAGTAATTTTTTAATAAATTTA